ATATGCATTTGTCTTTAGATAGGCAGATAAGAACAAAACAATTAAAATAACATGATTGGAGCAGATTTACACATTTAAGATTTACTGAACAAAAGTGTGCCACATTAAAAATACCTATCTGGATGGTATAATGATTAGCTGGCTTTTGAAATACCAAACTATGAAATAGTTAGACATTTACTATCACAGCTGCTGTCTGCTTTCTAGTATTTTTAACTGCCTAAAATAATAAACAAACAGACCATATTTATTGTGTATTTTAAAACAAACATCTGAGTAAAAAAATGTCATGAGTCTAGTTTTGAACTTGAACCCTCTATGTTTATGTGCTCGATTCAACCTGCAATGACCATGTAATTTAGCGAGGTCTACAGTTCACCCAAAGCCTAACCTCAGCTTGCATACCAACGGTCTAAAATAGACAGAGCTGTAATTCAAAGAACACCACTGAAAACTACACCCCATTCCCTGGTCGAAATGTTACTCTAGTGTTGTATCATCCTACTGTAAATGCTCACCTCCCATTCCTCGAAAATGACAGGGCTGAAAAAAAAAAGCTACAAATAAATATTGGCCATCAAGACGTGCTGAGCTCAGAAATGGCTTGCGCTTATCCTGCTGCAGGGGTCTGACTTTAGCAAGTCTTCACACAGTAAATGTGCCTTTACAGGGCTTCCTTTACGGTCAAACACCAAACCTTTAAGAGCAGTCCCAATGACATTTGAGTCAGGGTGTTTCTGCTTTGGTATGAAATAATCTGCACAGTGGGGATCTTTTAGGGTGAGTTCCTTGAAGTGAAAAACATCCCAAACAAAATTTACCACAAAAATGTGTTGGTGAAACGAACGTAACCAAATCATTTTTCATATCTTACAATTTTGACATGCTTCAGACGATGAACAAACATTTCGATGATATTTTCTGCACACTACCCCACTTTCTGTCATACTTTAATTAAGAGGCCAAATGCCCCCATCAGATAGAGAGCATAGAGAGAACCTCTGCAGCACTATTAATAATGCATTCATGGTTACATTCCCTCCATCCATTCTGGTACCATTTTGTTTGCAATGGTACCCCCCCCACCCCTTCTCCCCAAAGTAAGAGCCACATAAATCTCAGCTCTCAGTCTCTATTACAGTGGAGCGATGGCTGCCTGCCAGACAGGCAATCTCTTTGGACACCCCCATTCTCTGGTTAACAACCACTGCACCACAGTCTCAGCTTTCTCCATTTCCTCCACGGGGGAATGTTCAACATATCAATGTTTGGGGGAACAGCATTCAACCAAGAGGGCCAACTCTAGCACAGTCATATATCCATATGAAAGCAGTTATGCAGCAAGGTCGGAGTAATAAATGTCATGAAGTTTCCTGTATTAAATTACGGTTCAAAGCAAATAAATAAAATAAATCCACAATAAATGGAAAATCTGATTCTTATAAAACATAAATATGTATACACGATGAAACTCCTAAATAAAAGTTAGATTTAGTGGCTCCATTTATCATCCAGTGCTAAGGCAGAATATTTATTGTAATACAATCCCAGAAGCAGCAGTGGTCTCAGGTAACTCCAGAGATGTATCCAGCAGTAGTGTCCAACATCCCACTGGTGATCCATCACATTGCATGCTGTGCTACTTCCAATTGCTTCTCTTGGCATGAGTAGTGAGGGGAAAAAATGCCACCATAAAACAAAAAAAAACTAAATATAATCAGGTTAATTCTTTCACCCAGTGAATTCACATCGCTGGGCAGGTGCAATGTTGCTATTAAAGTTTCAGAGTTGTCCTCTCCTCAGCACAAAACTAAGTAGAACAGACAAGGAGATACAGCTATGCTTGTGTCTGCACATTAAAGTGACAGCTGTGGTGTCCCTCATTACTAAAACACAAACATAAGCACAAGTCCAGCAGGGTTGTCGGGATGTTGCTCTTTAATATTTTAGTTGTAAAGGTCTGACAGTCTGTCAGATATGCCTATCAAGGCTGAAAATATACAATATTTAGTGTCTTTAATTTCCAAAAAAAAAAAAAATCAATGATAAATCGTAATGTACAGGGTAGAGTCATCTGACAGTCACTTGATTCCCCGCCTAGAGTCAATACACAACAAGTTAGTCAGCCATTTCAATGACTGCCAAGAAACAGAAACTTGCCGACAAAAAATGACTCAAGTCATTAGTTAATTTATTTAAAACGGGATACTTACTGCTTGAAAGCATTAAGCAGGAACAAATTCTCGTTTAAATAAGAAAGGGTGTCCCTAATGTTTTTGTATTATGCTCCGTTACATGTTGTAGTATAGATTTGACATTTTTAGAAAAAAAAAAAAAACTGGTATGTTTTTAAGTTAAATGTAAAAAGTAGAAAAGTTGTGCAGCAAGTCGTTGATAAACAGTTTAATCCAGCTTCAAACTTCTTCTGTAGTCTCCTGTGCTCAGAGGGAATGTCAACAGAGTTTAACGCTGCAGTACTGCTACCTCAGTCCCATCTCACACACTGCTCATACACAGCTAATGCAGAACAAAGTTGATGGCTCACTTCGCCCTTCATAGAGCTCCTGAATGTGCTGTTGCTGAGTCCTAAGCTTCATTTTTAAAGGTTCCCTGCATGGCTGCGTGTCATAAAAGTGATTAGAAATGAAGAACTCTGACAGTGGTATGGTTGGGGCTTTGGTTAGTTGCCTTCAGGCTGCCAGGCCCTCTTAGCTACTTGATTCAAGATGACTTGTTGAACTGCTGTGTCTGCCAACACCGCTGATCCTCACAGGGATCTTTCACACAAGCTATAAACTTTTCTTCACCTTCTAACTCAACAATTAGACCGAGTTAAATTGGGTGTCTACAGGGCTCACAAGTAAGCATTAAACACAGAATAAACAACCATCACTATCCTATATTAAGCTGTCACACAAACTGGATGAGTGGTGAGGAACTAAAACAATCAAGTTATTGCACCACCTGTCTTAAAAACCAGCCTGACAGATGGTGTGCTGCTGGCAGTAAATAACTTGACAAAAGCCAAGTATCTTGTGAAGAGTGATTTGAGGAAACATATGCGCCACTTTTCCACCGTTTTGGTTAAGTCTACGTAATGAACGGCTGCTGTGTCATGATGGAGAGTCAAGGATAATACAGTGTTCTTACAGTAACCATAAATAAGTTACGCTTTGGACTTTCTGACATTGTCTCAAACTCACCACATTCAGTTAGACCGTATCTACTGAAACTCTGAGGGTCTGTCACACCAATACATTTCCACTTAGTTACACTCTCGGTGAGGTAGGAAGCTGGTTCCACAAAATGTGACAATGGCTCAAACTTTACCTTTATTTTCTGCTTCCTCCCCCTTTCTCTTTATCCCCGTTTCCTAGACAGCTACTGCCTCAAGAACCCCCACGAAGTAACTAATATTGTCATGCACTAGGCAATTAAATGTGAGCTGCCAAATCTCCGTATTGTACAGAAGTCCGCTCTGTAGTCAGTCTAAATATGTTCTGCAAGTACTCCCATTCAATGCTAAAAACAGCTGAAATATTTAAGCTCCTTCTCAAGCACTCAATGCACAACCTTAAAATCTTTCCTCTGGCACATCAGGGTAAAGAGCCAATAAAGGCAGTCTAAGGATGCTCTGCAGTGTGGAAGTAAATGGCTGTCACTTGGCCTGATAGAGCTTCTCTCTCTCCCCCAGTGTTCATGGGGAGGCACTCGACCCCCCAAATTACTCATTTTGATTCAAAGCATGTGTGTGTGTGTGCATCAGGAGAAAAGGGAACAGATCAATTCTGTCTGTGTAAGATAAAACAACAACATCGCAGCACAAACCAAAATGAGATAAGACATGAAGCACATTGTGATTGGACAAACACCTGAGCATTTAGGTCCCCAGAGCAGTAGCTTTTCTATCTTCGAACCACATGTTTTATCAGTCTACAGGACATATTTGGAAAACTGGATGATTAATTAAACACCATATTTGTTTTATTACGAAGTGTAATTTTTAATGACACTTTGTTTGAGACTTTGGAGGATGTTAAGAGAAAGTGAAGAACAGCTAAAAGTAAGTATACACAATGCAATGACAAACCTCAAATCTATACCAAGAGACTAATCTAATCAGTGATTGGACTGAGATCACACAGGCAAGAAAACAAAGCAGCGGAACCTGAGGTACATTTCTCATGCCTATTGGAAGCTGGTGAGCTGATATAAAGCGAAAAGCAGGTTAATGTAAGACTTCAGATAGTAAAGCTTTGTGTGCCCGTAGCAAATGTCCCATTGAAATGCTGCTGTTTGTGCGTTCGGCGACAAGGGAATAATTGGCAAAGTAATTCATAATAGTTGCAGAGAAGACACAACTTCTATAAACAGCACGCACGGCCTTCAATATTCTGACTGAGTAATGTCTATAATTCTGCTTTAGTGTGACAGAAACCAGATGAGCAGTGTATGAAATCATTTGCCTTTCAAATCAAAAGGCACGGCGTCATTACGCAGCGGAATAATCTGAAAACTTCATCCATACAGAGCTGCAGTAAAGACGGCTGTCGGTCAACATAACAACAACCACTCGTTCCAATAGCAGCCTACTTTCTGCTCGCGTAAAATGCGCACATTTTCATATCTGTCATATCACCATAACGCACACCGTTACACAGCAAACAGCCTACTGAGGGGGGGTCATTGGAAAACAACCCTATCACAGTGTTGGAGAAGCAGCACAGCTCTTGAAATGCAGTCTCAACAGCGGGCATATTCCCGTCAATTAACACACTAAACACACTCGAAGATGTCATACAGACTGTTTAAGTTGTATCAAACAACGGAGAGAAAGGCGATAAATATGGGGCTAAAAATCCCATGTAGTCCAGCCATATAGCACCACTTCAGCCTGTGGAAACACGAAACATACAGCCGGTGGATTGTGTGCAACAAAAAACGAACATTTATGCCATAAGAAGGAGACCGTTTTAAAGGAGATGAAACGTGTAGCCTACCTGTGTATTGCAAGAGAAACATTGTCCACGGAAGGTGAGCTACGGGTCCTCTACTGTAGGACGAAGTGTACGAAGTAGAAATATATCCTTGAATGGAGCACCGGGTCTCTTCCCTTTGACAGCCCGCTCCGCTCTGCAGACAGGACTGCATTGAAAGCAGCCAGGAGAAGCGGGACCTTGTAGCTACAGCAGGAGAGCCCGCCCTCGCGTCGACGTGCCCGCGCTTCACGACAGAAGAAAGTTCGCCTCCCGTGCACGAAGCGCGCAGGCGAACTGTTTTTGGCTGTGTTAAAGGGCGGTACAACATCCTGTGACTAAACTCCTGCTTCTTTTCTTTGACACCGAAGGAAAACACGATTTTTTTTTTTTTTTTGTGAAGGGTTTCTTCTCACATAGCTGCAGCTGGAGTCTCATTCCAGGGCTATTCTGAAGACAAGTAGCCTATTTGTTTTGCCCACTTGAAAACAGAACCTTCATTCAGCCGTGGCTCCAGGAGTTTCTACATGATGGTAGAGGATTCCTACTCAAAAGGAGCATTCAAGCCAAATATCTGTGTAATCTTGGCCTAACGGTGTGCATATTGTGTGCAGATTTGGTTTGATCAACACACAGCCAAAAGATTAATTACAGAAGGAAAACAGTAGAGCAAACATAATTATGCTTTTATAATTAGACTCTGTGTATAGAGACATAGAAAACTGTGTGTGTGAGAATGATCTGTAATGTATCTGTAATGAGTCTTCTAATCCTGGTCTAATAAACTCCCTTCAGTCTGGTTCTGACTGAGGAGACAATGACAACACCTGTTTAAATTGAATACTCAGTCCAACCTCTAATGAAAACAAAACATCACAGAATGGTTTTACATTGTCCTTTAACAGAGTCAATAGGAGGGCGGATAGGAACATACGGTTAGTGACACCTGGCTCACACAGTCTAAAACAGAAGTCACACAAAAAGTCAAATGAATGGTTCAGTTGTCACACATTAAGAATGTTATCCAATGTTTATTTCTACCAAATTTATACATGGACAAAATATAAAACATCACCTCAGTGTCACGCATGAACTTGAACAGCACATGATGCTACAGCCTTTGAAAAAAAAAAAAAAATTGGTTAGCATTGAACTTTTAATTGATTGACTAAATGGTCTGTCAAAGATGATCATCATCGTGTTTTGTACGGCTTCAGTAAAGTAAACAACTTGATGTTAAATAAATCAGATTTCAATCAAAATTAAACCAAATCCCAAGCAAGAGAGAACATCATGAACAGGGGGCATTTAGATATGTGGTGCTAATTCTTCAGTCTTGCTCCTTTAAAAGAGTACACAGTGAATGTCAGTCAAACCTCTGACAGTGGAAAACAATGTCAAAAACAAACACAAAGGAAATGGCACACTTCATGTATCAACAGCAGTAACATTACAGTCTCCTCACTGATCCTCACAGATGATATGAAGCTTTCATCTGTTGCTATTTTAAGTCTCTCCATTATTTTAACAAAGGCACTGTAACTGTACTGTAACACTATATCCCTAATGAAGGTAATGAAGGATTTACTGCAAAGCTGCTGTATTATTAGTCTAACTTATGGACCCTTAATATGGCAACTCACTGTGTGTAGTTTAAAAACAGGGCTGGTACAAAACACACACAAACAGGAGTAAAGCTGAGGTCACCTTGTTCTGGTTAAAAGGCCTTGGACCATGTTTAGAAAATATCTGCTGTCAGATTATTTTCTCTGCCCTCCAATAAGTCTGCTTCCACTGCCATCATAAAATGATCTCAAAAGCTAAATAAATATATTTACCAAAGGCCAGAGTGCTGTTCTCCTTTTTCCAAACCTCTAAAATCAAGTCTGCTCTGAGGCCTTAAGAGCACTTTTCTACAAACTGTGTGTTGGAGTGATTTTGGGTCATGACAGGAACTTACTTTACTGTGTCTGTCATTATCTGTCCAACAATAGTCACTGATATATAGTGATACAAAAACTAACGAATCAAATAAGTTTTAGTACATTTTATATGTGTAACTAACCATGGCAGACTAACCTGAAGACTAACCAAAACATATTATTACTTCTGCAAAGAATTCTCATTAATATGTCAGAAGGATTACAAAACAACACATGTCGACTTCAATTTTTTTTCGAGGGCTGTTGCATGAGACCAGAGAGAATCCATTCAATTTTGGAGTACGTTCAGACGGACTTAAAACAAATCAGTTAATAGCTGATGTGTCTCATGAATAAAAAATAATACTAACCAATATCTAACACTTGAAGTAAAGGTAAAGTGAATGTTGTGATGAAACTACCATACTGTTAAACATGACAGCACTTCAAACATGATTGTAGATACAAATGCAGCAGTTATGTCAAATATGCAGGTCCTCTAAGTGAATATGAGGCTGGATTGTTGGCCTTGATGGAGGCCAGAGCTGTTAGAGCGCCCGTCTATGTTACAATGGGGATTCTTGGAAAGGTGTGAGAAACTCGACACAACTAGAAAGGCACCCAGAGATTAGAGACCACCACCATGTCTATCCACTTTTATGGTACACAGAAAGAATATCAAATATATACTGTAAATCACACCAATTATTTTCTGTCATGAATCTTGTTTGCTTGATTTTACACCAGATATTTGTACAGGAGACACTGACATGTCCAATCTAAACTAGTCTCTGGAATAAAACTCAAAAACGTATATCAAAATATGTATTGCGTGTTTGTGAATCAGTTCCAGATCTACTAAAAAAAATAATGCATATTATTTTTAACCAACCAAGTTTCATTAAATCAGACCAGTACTTTTTCTGTAAACTCTGTCTCAGTTGAACTGGAGAAAAGTCTGGGATACTTGTTATATGTACAAGATATTCACATGAAGCTTGGTTTGAAAAGGCATACGGTCCACATACTGGCACACCATGAAAGGCAACCTAAGGATGCTCTGCAGTGTGGAAGTAAATTCGAGAAACAGTTCCATATCGAGAGAGACAGTATTTTCAGCCTGGAGTTCCTTATTGATCATCTACTTTCAAGGTTATACAAGTCGAAAACAAAGCCACCAGCTGATTGTTTGCTATTTTGCTGTCCATGTTTCTCCAGAAGAGACTTAATGATGAATAAACAGAGTTATTTTTCTCAGCAGAATTCAATTACCCCTGTCAGCCAGTAGTAATGAGTAACAGCCAGTGCATGCTCTCATTCAATTTCAGAGTCCATCCGTAAATAATGTTGGTCTGATGTCTTGATTTTTTTCTTTTATAACAATGATGTTCTTTCAGCAGTCTGCTTAGTGTAGCAAAACATTCAAATCAAACACTAGTTTGACTCTGTGCCTCAGCAGATGAAAACCGCCTTAGTTTGCTTTTATAATTTTGTTTGTGTGTGTTTGGTGACTTTTCAGACATCTTAAGAGAAATCTACCCGCCTCAAAAGTTAGGGGGAAACACAATTGATCGCTGCAAGATTTCACTATTTCCTATTTTAAGAGAATTCACTGTAGCACCTTATTCAGTAAATCATGAGCCCAGTTATGGGCTATTAAATGGAAGCTGGGCCTCATTGACAACTATCAAGTTAGAGAGATAATAACTGTCCTCTTTACTAGCATTCATTTGAGTTTTCCCTTTCTGAGAATTTGTCCTGTTATTGGAACTGTTTCTCTGCCTCTATCGAGTAGTATGCAGCACCACTCACTCCTGTTTTCACACTGTAAGAGTGCAGCTACACGTTGTATCAAAATGCTCTTTCCAGACAAACAACAGGGTTCAGGTGGATGCTCAGAGAGGAAGAGAGTTGATATTTAAAAAGGTTAAGCTCATCAGAATGTCTGTTAGTGTAAAGTGACTGCAGTGGTATTTCATGTCATCAATTTTGAGATCAATGTAGTGTTTGTGGCTCATGCACAACAAGAACATAGCTGCATCTCATGTTTCTTAAAAGCTGTCTCCTCTCTCCTTGGTCAAACTGAAAGTAGTTCCAGACCAGCTTAAGGATCGTTCCAAAGCCCCTAAAGCTGCTCGAAGTTGAGAGATCGAGGAATGAGGAGAGAGATCTGAGGAGGGACGAGCTCGAGTCTTATTAGCGACAGAGACTTCGATGAAAGTTGGAGCGCCAATAGCCTGCCGGTTATGTCACGCGCTCCATGTGCAGAGGCTGTGTTCCTCGTCGCAGCAGCTGTGGGTTCAAAACCATCCACAGCATTTTGCTCCATGTCATCCCCCACTCGCTTCTCCCAACATTTCCTGTCTCCTTCAGCTGTCCTATCCATTAAAGGCAAAAATAACTGAAAAATGACAACAACAAAAAGGCTTCGATGAAACTTCAGGATATCATCAGCGAGAAAAGGTGGATCGTAAAACAGACGCTGAACCGACGTCCAGAGGTTGGGGGGAGCATCCCTGTCTTTATGCTTTTTGTTGGCTCTATCTTCCTTAATCATTCCCTTTCTAATTACCTCGCCCATCTTTTCCTCCCCTCTCCTTATCCGCACCCCTGCCCCCTGACTGATGGTTAGCAGATGATCATCTGGACAGGAAAGGTTGCAGTGACTCCCCAGCTCGTTATGACACCTCATTAAGAGAGCCGCACAGTGTCCCAATTCACGTACTGGTGTGTTCCTCCTTGGAGGAATTTAATGAGTTGAGGGGGAGTGATAAGACACCATAAAAAGCTGGATCCAAAGTGTTTGCCACAGTTTCCAGAATGATCTGAGAGGAGGGAGTTACTGGTGGCGGCAGCATCTGTCCTGGAAACCGAAACTAAGCTCAAAAGGAGGACAGGCCTTGTAACTAGAGAATTTCCCCTCAGCATTAATATTGATGGAAATGGGTCTCAAACAGAGTGCAAAACAACTGTTAACCCTCCTGCACTGCAACAATGTTGTTAACAGCCCTCGCTGCCCCACCATCATTCACAAACAGAGATTCACTCGACTCAAACACCTCTCGTGCGTTTCAGCTCGTGCAGCCACAAGAAGAGGTGATGATGGATTGTGTTTGTTTATTTGGCAACATAAGTTCACTGTGTTTTATTGCTGAAAGCCCTCTGATACACGCAGCAGCATGTTTATGAGAGAGAGAGTGGGCACTGTGGTACATTTTTGGCAGCTGAGGTTTGTAGCTAGCTGGTTGGGGATCCTGCCACCAAATGTGCCATCAGCTTCCCACAGGTATCAAACTTCACTGAAAGTCAAGATTCACACAAAGAGAGGTTTGTCTAA